AATAATATTCTCGCCATAAAAATTGTTCTATAGCCAAAGAAATAATTCGAGTCATATTTGTTTTTTAATTTTTTTTTTTTTTTTTACGATCATCGATCGTTCACGAACTTTACTTGTATGATTTCATCACGACTCATTGCTTGGATTTCACACGTGTGGCATTCTTACTTATTAAAACAGATTGAGAACGGTAATTTTTCTTTCTATTTAATCTCCGTATTTTGTATTTTTCTTCTTAATTTCCTTGTAATTTGTTTGTTTGCTTTTGCTTACTTTATTTCACATAAAACGTAGTATTAATAACATTCTTCTTGTTTCTTTCTTATTTTCGTACTCGTTCCTCTTCGCACGGATCAATTCAAGATATTATCATCATTATTTCAATTATATTTGAATATTTAGTTTCAATACTTTGATTCACTTCTAGATACTTAACAATAAAATTTCAAAAAGTCGAAAATACAAAGATTCAAAAGTTTAAAAAATTAAAGAATTCAGAAATTAAATAGTTCAGAATTTTTTTTCAGAAATTTTCAAATCCAAGAATCTTCAAGATATTTAAAGATTAAAAAACGAATTGAAAAATTAATTATTCTACTTTCTATCTTGTAAATTATTCCTTCGAGAAACGAATATCTTTTATTCATCCGTGGGAATAGTCGCGCGCACTAACACATATACACGATTGGGTGACGGTTATGTGGGTTTTGCTACCTGTGTGTCGGTGCATGGGGGTGGTGGTGATGGTGGTGGTGATGAAATTCTGGCGCGTGTCGCTTTGCGTGCACCGGCTGTGAAACTGTCATCCTCTGCGCCTTCCTACCCGCTCGAACCCTGGCAGGTGGATCGTCCTGCTTAATGCGCAACCCAGTCACCGGAGACGGAGTTGACGTGATGCCTATAAGGCGCAGCACACGAAGGTGTCGAGGTAACGTTTATCTATTCTTCTTTTTTTCTTTCTCTCTCTCTTTTTCTCTCAATTTTAGTCTATGTTTATTTCTTTCAAGATAATTAGATCTTTTGATCATTTTTGACGATGCATTTTTTACTTTCGCAGTCTCCGATTATTCATCTTCTTTTCCAAGAAAACACTTCATTTGATTAGCTTTCCATCGAATAACAACAGGAGAAAAGATCATATAAATATCGTCCAAAGCTATCAAAGGATCACCGTTTCTAGATTTTCTAGATTAGAAACAAAGAAAAGTTACTAGTTATTAAAGAAATACAAGGGAAAGTTACTAAGGAAACACAGGGGAAAATTACTAAAGAAATACAGGGGAAAATTACTAAAGAAACATAGGGGAAAGTTACTAAAGAAACATAGGGGAAAGTTACTAAAGAAATATAGGAATTTTTTAATTTGAAACAAAAATAGTAATGAAATCAAAATATTCGATCATTTAATCTTTTTTAATTTATTTTTATAATTAGAGAAAAATTATAAAGGATTATAACATAAGAAACAATAAAATAAAAATTTCTTTAGAATAAACATTTATTTCGATAACTGTTTATACACAACTGTAAATACAGATGTGTATATAGTATTATTCAAAAGTTGAATGAAATTCATCCTCTAATTCATGGTAAAATATAAAGTATGTTCGCAAAAAAGTGAGCTCGATTTTATTTTAGAAAGAGTTTATATGAATATTTGCTTATATGTGGTTGAATCATAGATTAATCAATATGATATCGATATTCGATTATTTAGGAGAATCAATTTAAAATCGTGATAATTCAATTAAATTAAATCTATTTATAAATTCTTTTTCATATGAGTTATCCTTTTATGGTTTTGGACATTATGAAGAAAGAGAGAAGATATAAATTTGATTTTTTATTAATCAATTTCAACTTTCACTGTTTTATTTTATCATTTCTTTTTCTTATATAGCCTTCTTCGATACAATTTATGGGTTCATTGTTGAACATTGAAATTTATTTATAATATATCTTTATGTATTTCTTTTCTTTACAGTGTGTTCTTTTTTGTGTATATATATATATGTTATTAGTTTCAGAATTAAAATAATGGGACTAATTTTAGTGTTTAACTAGTTGATTTATTTTATTTGTAATTTTTGTTTTTAAAAAATCTATAATCTTAAATCTAAATGGAAAGTAATTTAAGGAAAAAAAAATATGAAATATTTCTATTCTGATTAAAATTTCCAAAATTACTTGCCATCCAAAATTAAAATTTATTATTGCTTGTATCTTGTATATTCATCTTATATATATTTTCATGTCCTAAATTAGATTTGCTTGAATTCATTTTGAAAAATATTTGTATTTAAAAATAAAGATAAAGATATAATGAATTCAAGCAATTCTTTAAAAAATTCCTATAGGTCAATACTCACATAAACAAAATAATTTATAATATAGTACGGTAAGTTTGTATTCTATATAGTAGACGATTACGCATTCCTTGTCTTGCATAATGTAAGTCCTTCAGAGTAGATCTCACGAATATTTTATATCTAATCGTTCTTTATCAATGCATCGAATCCGATTGGTTGTTCTTTACGTTTTACGCTTAATTGCCTGTCGAGTAAATTACCTGTGTGTCCCTGTCCCCCTTTCACGGGTGAGCCCGGGAGAAAATAGAGAAAAAATCGCGAAGGGAGAGTGCCAGCATGTGGATTTCGCGTGAAATTTCGATTTCTCTATCGATGTTATATCACCATAATGAATATCAGGTGTATAAACGCAATTATGTATTATTATAATCTGGTCAATATTTTTTTCCCTTTCTTTTTGTCTGTTTAAATATAACAATAATTTTTTATACTCCTGATATGAAATTATCATATGCATGTGACCTGTTTAAAATCAATTTTATTATTAGTTTTATTACAAAAAATAGAGAAATCATAGCAACGAGAAAAAGTGAAAAAATCTAAAATTTCAATGCTGTAGATATTTATAGTTAAAAATAATCGAGATATTCAAATGTAAAGTGATTTTTTGTGGGAATATTTTGATGTTTTAAAATTGTCATACAAAAGTAAATAGTGTAGAACAATAAAAGAATTTTTCTGTTTTTCATTCAAAAGCTATGAAAGCTGTAGAAGACAGTGAAGATAATATTTTGGAGAAACAATCAATTTTCGATGAGTTTCAATAAATGTAGAATTCTTTTCAAAAAGAAATCCGTTTACATTTGAAAATTTCTATTTTAACCACAGAAATAAATTTTAACCAAATTAAATTAATTCAATTATATTAAACCATAAAATCACCAAGTCTTCGTCATAATAGATATATAGAGAAACAGTTCACGAATATTAGAGCAAAAACTTTTAATTAACCATTAAATAATATTACACGATTCCTATATACACTCTCAGTTTATAAATTTTTCGATTTATTTTGTTTCGATTAGTCTTAATCGAAACAAATACCATCCAAAACAAAATTCTTATGAAAATGAATATAGAATCCATACTTTATATTTATAGAACGTTTATTGACAGATAAAAAAATATTCTTCACAGATGGTAATCCGGTAACCGGAATTGGTTATGGAGAATCACAAAACAACGGACCGGCTGTGCAAAATGGAACGACTAGCTCGAATTCCAGCGAGAAATCGAACGATACATCGCCAGCGGCAAAAGTTCCGGCACGTACACGCGTGCCACCTGGTGGATATTCATCCGGACTGTGGTAAAAATCTGTGGCCTCTTGACAACCGCTAATCGGCATTTTCCTTTCGATTGGCGTCGTAAACCCTTCCAGTATTGACAAATTCGACAAAAATCGGATTTTCATTAATATCAGTTCAAGAATATTGCTGTGAATTGGTTGATCCCTTGTTTCGATAAAGAAAAGGAAGGAAAACAATGATTGTACGAATTCTTTCGAATGATGAATTGTATTCTTCTGATTTATATTATTCACATGCGACGATAGATAGATGTGTTATGTTGATCTTTGTAGTTAGATTCGTTTCAATATTAATTGTGGTTCGTGATTTACATTGTTCGTTCGAAATACGAGTGAGTTTTTATATTACGTAGATTGAAAAGAAGTGGAAATTATATCGATTATGGTATAAATATGAATTATTCAGATTTATATTGTATTCTAAATTTATATTCCAAAAATCGAATCTTATTTGGATATATTCATAAGTTGACTTACATTCGTTATTTTTTATATTCGACTATTTTTCGTTTTATATTTTAGATTTTCCTCTCTGAATTGTCATTGAGGTTAGTTAATGATATTTGTCTTTTATTTATTTATTTTTCTTTCGCGTTTTTTTTATTGATCTTTCTGTTCAATTGAAAGAAATCGATTTTTACGATGACCAAATAATATTTTTTTCCTTAACTTAGACACTTTTGCACTGGAAGGGTTAATGCAAGAATATAGAGAAAGTAAATAGAAAAGAGCAAACTGGTCATCTTTGTGACAATTCTTAAGTCCTAATTGCCGAAGCGAGTAGAACATAGTTATTCGGTTTTCACTATAAAAAAAAGCAAAAAAAGGAGAAAAATGAAAATGAATACGTCATTTCTTTTCTCTTCTGAAAATCCCCATTTTCGCGATTTTTTGTAAGCGCATAATTTTATTCAGGGGAAAATAAAAATTGTTCATGTTTTTTGAATCATGAAAGATAAAAAAAAAATTTTGAAGGAGGATGTAAGATAGTTTTTCTCGAATATATCTTGTTTTCGAGAGAATTTTTGCCTCTCTACCCCTTTCCAATGTCCGACCGTTCTCTTTTAAACCGCACCTTTCTATAATATTTCAGAGATCGTGTTATTCTATCGGTATCGATATTCTTTGATATTCGTTAATCCTATATTGATAAGAGAATAACGAGAACGGAGAGAGTAAGAGAAAGAAAAAGAGAGTGAAAGAGGAAAAAAGTATGGAATTATATTATAAAAGGAGAGAGAAAGACACAAAAGACGAAATGATTTTTTTCTTCTTTTTTTTCACGATGAAGTTTTTCGAAATATAAAAATTGTGAAGGATGTAGAAAGGGAAGAAAAAAAGAGAGAAGAAAGAAAAAATAGATCGATTGAAAAATGAATCCTGCCAAATTTTGAAAGGTAAAAAATTAGAAGTGAGCGCCATGAATCACGCTTCTTTAAATTGATAGACTGTTGTCGATTGATTTCTTCTTCGGATAAATAAAACAAATTGTAACTTATTCGATGATGAATAGCGAAAAATTAATGAAGAGAAAAAAAAGGTACGAACGTCCAGAATGAAATAGAAAGATAGATCGTGATTAACTCGAATAATAATAAGGAATAATTATAAAATTAGAAAACGTTCGAAAAAAACCTCGGAATTGTATATTAGAAGTAGGCATATGTTATTCGAAAGAAGAAAAAGATAATAACAATAATAATAATAATAATAATAATAATATTAATATTAATATTAATAATGATAATAAAAATACATCATATATAACCCATTAAAAAAATATGGTCAAGTGCTTTCTTAATTTTTGTGCCTTTTTAATAATTGTATCTAGTTTTTTCTTCTGCATGAACGCCATTTGTATAATTTTATAGAGAGCACAGTTCCTTTTTCTCTGTCGGTTATTTTAAGTTTTCTCATTCATTCGGTAAAAAAAAAAAAAGAAGGAAAAAACAGAAAAACGACTTTCAGGCATCGAAGCGTAATAATCATGAAAATAATATTAGTAATAAATTTACTATTTACGCAAATAATCATTCTTAATCGATTTATCAATATACATAAAGGATTAGGTTTAATTCTATTTATCGCTATAATACTTACTCTTTTTGAAACAAAGATTCAACATAATTCTATCAGAAATAATCAATAATTCATTTTTTATAGTTGTTCGCTATTTGCTTCTTTGTTATTTCACAATAATGTAAGGAATTGTATTTATTATTTCATAGTAAGATTCGTGCACACGATTTCTCTTACGCTCGAAATAAAAAAAAAAAAAAAGAGAAGAAATAATATTTCTTCATCATTTTGGTGTGAGTAAAAAATTATATTGTTTGTATTGCATCATATTCTCGTCTCATAAGTAGCTCTTTTGTACTCTGGCATTAATTAATAAAATTTTGTAAGCAACAATTGTTTTCTTCTTTTTATTCATTGTCCTATTCACGTCATAAAAGTAATACTAATTTGCATTTATAGAATCTTTTATTATCAAAATATATGGTAATATAAAATAAAAAAAAATGGTAAGCTTTAACAAACCATAATAAATATACATTATGAATATTATATAAAAAATATAATACTGTAAGGTAACTGAAGTTAAAAATTGAACATGATAAATATCTACTTATTTTTCACAGTTTTTCAAATTGCAGCAATTAGATCCCTTATAGTTGAACCATTCGCTTTACACAAAGTAGTAAATAAGTGTTTTCGATTTGTTTCTTGTTCGAGTTTTTTTGAAATCTCATGTGCTCTATTTGTAATTATAGCTGGAACACCACCTAATCGGGCAGCGTTGAAACCATACGATTTCGGACAAGCTCCTTCGCTGAGTTTGTATAAAAATGTTACTGTTTCTTGGGATACTTCATCTTGTTCCTCATTTTCTACCATGCATGCCTATAGCAAGATAAATTTTTATAAAACTAAGAAATAAGAATAAAACAATTTTTAGAATTAAAATAATACTTTAAAGAAGTTAAAAATAAAAGACAACCAAAAAGAAAAATGTATAAGAATTTTTTTTATATACCATATGAGCTAATGTAATTTTCTTATCATTTTTATAATCTTCTACCAAAGAATGATAATGCGTTGAGAATAAAGTACGACAGTTTAATTTTGTAAGTGCATTTACAACTGCAGCAGCAATTGCCGTACCATCATACGTCGATGTACCACGTCCTATTAATATTAAATTAAATTATTTTTTTAATAATATAATAATTTCTCACTATAATAATTTTAATTAAATTTGTATTCATACCTAATTCATCAAGTAATACGAGAGAATATGGTGTAGCATGTTGTAATATTGCAGAAGTTTCGCTTAATTCTACTAAGAATGTACTTTGACCAGCCAAAATATCGTCATTTGCTCCCAATCTTGTGAAAATACGATCTACTAGTGTTAAACGACAGGAACTTGCAGGAACATAACTTCCCTATAAAATACAAGAATCAATTTTCTGTAGTTTGACATATTATATATTATTAAAACATACAATTTGTGCCATTATAGTGAGAAGGGCAACCTGACGCATCAATGTTGATTTACCGCCCATATTTGGTCCAGTGAGAATCATGAAAGAAGCGAAATTTTCAGTTGCTAGTAAAGTGTCATTTGGTATAAATGTATCTGAAATAATACATGGATGTCGTCCATCTCGAATATCAATAAATATCTGCAAAAGAAAATATTTTTTAACAATTTTTAATATTTTATAATAATCAAATTAGTGAAGTATGTTAAATTTACCTTTTCATTTGTACCATCATTAATTTCCGGTACACACATATCACCACTGAGAGCGTATTCTGTTAAAGAAATAAGAACATCTAAAACAGACAATTTATAAACTGCCATATTCCACATATCATATTTTTCGCTAAATTGTGCAAATATTCTTCTATTTAAATCCTTCAATACTTTATCTCTATGTTCTTCGGCATTTATTTGTCGACTTAAAAGTTCCTGAAAAAAATATTTTAATCATTTTATTTTATTTAAAAATGTTATATCATTTTTAAAAAAAGTTAAACCTTTGACTCTGCAGTATAATAACGTTTATATCCTTTCCTTTGTGATTGAAGTTCAAATCCAGCACCAACTTTTTTCGTTTGAGAATCTGGAATCTCGATCTGATAACGCTTTTTATCCGATCCGTGAAACGTGACTTTCACTCCAAAGTGTTTTTTCTGCTTTTCAAGATATTGTTCTGAATCTTTTTTTATTTCCTCAAGTTCCATTAAAACGGCATCATATTCAGAATCGACTCCTTTCTTTGGAACAATACAACCTACTCTTTTGGCTTCTTCATGGTCAAATGCAGTCTAAAATATATATTGCATACTTGTATTTCAATTAATGATTAATAACACATAGAAAATATTAATTACCTTAAAATAATCTAAAGATTCTCTTAATGAAGGAAATTCACCATCTGGTTCCACTTTAGTACATTTGCTTATTAAGATACTACAGAAATCTAGAAAATAAATAATACATATAACGATTTTAATTAACTATTGCATATAACATAGCATAATTACCTTCAAACAAAGCAATTACTTTTAAGACATCTTCAAAACCATTCAAAGTGGTAATAAAATCTATAATTCTTTTCTTTGAATATGTTTGCCCCTCAAACATGATAGCTCTGCCATCAGGATGATTATTTTGTTTTGCCGGATTTCCTTGAGCATGAATCCTAATTATAAAATTGTGTACATAAAATATTTACTCTTATAAATACAAATACTTTTAATCTTTAATTGTTAATAATATAACTCACTTGCTCAATAATCTTTCAAGATCAGGAAGCCCCGCTAATATACTACGAGCCGTTTGTATTGTTTCTGAATGATCCATTAATTCTTGTATAGCTTTTTGACGTTCAATTATAACATCTTTTCGGCAAGATGGTCTACAAACCCATTCTCGTAACAATCTACGATTAAATATTCTATTAGATTTTAAAATGTTTATATATTTATTTTAGATATACCTCTTTCCAAATGCGGTACAACAACGATCCAATGTTTTTATAAGAGAACCTTCCCCGAAAATTCTCAAATTATTAATCGTGATAGCATCTAAAACCTAATAATATAAAAATAATAAATATTAATAAATTAAATGTTTAATATTACATGTAATTAGATAAAATTCAGTTACCATATTATTTGCAAATTTAGAAGCTTCAAATGTTTTATTTGAAAAATCTGGAGGAATATATGTTTTAAAACGTCCTTGTGCCAATAATTGTTGTTCAAGCAGATATTCTTTGAGTAAATATGTACATCCACCTAAAGCATGTACCGCTAGTTCTTTATCTTCAGCAGGAGTTAAACCTAAACTATCACCTAAAAAAATAAAAATGTCAAAAAAACTCTAAACTTTTATTAAAAAATCATATTAAAAATATTTACTTTTATTAAGATATGATTGTAAGCCTGTAGGCCATTGAAACTCAGAATTTGATTTTTTAAAATAATCTCCTTCATGAAGATTCTGTAAATTAAAAAAAACTTTTTAAATAAAATTTTAAAATAAAATTTTTTAGATATTGCTATAATTGCTTTTAAATATTGATATAAATATCCTAAACTTACTTTTAATGTAGTTGAAGATGACCAAAATTGAGATTCGCGTAAAAGCGATTCTTTAATACATGCTGCTAAATTGTTGTTAAAAATTTGTAACGTTCTTTGAGACAAATTACCACGTTCATAAACAACCTAAAAAATAATAATAAATAAAAATAAATATATATTTAATAAATTATAAAATATTAATTTAAATAATAAATTTATTTATTTAATTTTAATTATGAAAACAAATACTTGCATGAACTGGAGGATAATGAGCGAGTAAAGTTAATAATCTAGAATTACATCGATCATCTTCAAATTGACCGAGATAGAAATCTCCTATTGTAGTGTCTAAGAAACAAACTCCATAATGAGATATATTAGAACCAGATGAACATTTTTCAATTACTGATAATAAATAATTAGAATTCGGTGTAGATGGTTCTATATCTTGGGGAGTGTATACCCTTGTACCTTTAGAAGTTATTTGGCAAATTTCTCTTTTAACTACTTTATCAAATTTTGTTGGTCTAATCACTAAAAACAATAAGTATGATTGAATTAAGATTAATAATTATAAATTATATGCAATATGTTTTATGATATCATACTATTGCTAACGCGTTGTGCCATCATGTCTGGATTCTCTGTTTGTTCTACTCTCGCCACTTTATATCCTCTTTCTATGAGACTCGCTGAGAAACGGCCATATCCAATTTCAGGAAATCCCGAATGTGCAAATTCTCCCTAAAAAATTATAATAATTAATTTTTTTAGAACTTAAAACTCTCAAAATATATAAAATAATAGAGAATTTACTCTCATATAAGTAAGATGAAGTTCATTAACGCCAATTACAGCATCCATATGATATAATTCGTAAAATTTTCCTAACTTAAAGAAAAGAACACAATCAAAGTGTTTACTTTTCAATTCCCACCACTGTCTCATAGCCTGAAAAAAATCATGATATAAAAAATATTAAATAATATGTTAAATACGATACGATACAAACATTAAATAATAATTAAATAATAATAAATAATAAAATGAACAATATTTAATTTTACTGGAGATATTAATATTTAATATCTTACTGGAGTTTGTTGATTCAAAAAATCCAAAGGAACATATAGAGTTTTAGAATCATAATCTGAATCACTTAGTGGTTTTTTATTAATATCTCGTATTTTATTTGGTTGAAGAAAATCATATTTTAAATGTGGCCAAGAATCTATAACATTATTTGAACCTTGGGATTGATTTTGTTGTTGAAGTTTTGATTCTTTTTTATCCTAATTAAGATTTAATAGATTTATTAGATTGATTAAATAATGAATTTAATAATAATAAAATAAAATAATTTATAATTATAAACTTACTTCTTTAAAATTTTTTTTTGCACCTTTTTGTGGTTTTCTTCCATTAGAATTAATAAGCTTTCGTTTCTTCTAAAATATAATTAATATTCAGCTATGTGAATTTAAAAAATATGAAAATTTTCTATCTTTTAATAATTAATTCTTTACCTCTGGACTTTCTTCTTCACTCGCAGTTGGTGGTTCACTTTCACTAACTCCTTCAGATCCTGAATCAGATTCTTCTGATTCCTCATCTAAATCTAAAATATAATAATAATAATTCTAAAAAAAAAAATTATTATATAGATATGTTCAAACCAAATACAAACCAGGCTTAAATTCATCTCCAGAATCTTCTCCAGATTCTTCATCAGGAATAATTAGTCTTCGCTTTTTTATTTGAATTGGTTCATTTTCTTCCTTTTCTTCTTCCTCATCATCCTTGTATATTCTTTTTCTATCTTCGAGATTCTTATTTTCTTTCCCTTTACTTGGAGTTTTAGCTACATATAATATGAAAAATTACATCATTTATATAACAAAATAAAATAACAAATATTTAATATAATATTTACTGTACTGAAGTAAATATAAAATTTTAATCAATATTATTATTTATTTATATATTATATTTCCCGAAATTTTATAAAATCTAATTTTTTATAAACTTCTATTTTAATTTCATGACATAAAAATACATGCGGTCCAAAATATATATTTTATCGCATGTTACATTGTTATATTAAATAAATTATTTATACATTGTCATAATACCTTTGTTCAATTGTCTTCTTGCTCTTTTCGGTGTTGTAGATTTTTCATCAGATATTTGTTTATTATTTAATTTAGGTGTTTTAGGAGTTTTAGGCGATGTAAAATAATTATATAATGTATTCACTTTCGACATATTGTTATAATACTTATATATTGCAAATTCTTTATTTTACTTTCTCGAATTACGTGCCGTTTACGCAAATACAGATCAAAATCCCGGCAAAACTTTAGCTTTCCTAAACTCATTAAATTATTAGTCTACGTTCTTAAATATTAAAATTATTTAAAAAATTCAAATTCTTATTTTAAAAATATTTTAAGTAAAACATATGCACTTTTTAAATAATTTATTTGCATAGATATATTTATTGAAAAATGATATAGTATTTCAATATTAGATTTGGATTCATTTAAATTAAATTTTATTTCTAATTTCTTTATAGAAATTTTTGTATTTTTATCTATCACTTAATTTCTTATAGTGGTAACTCTGCCTCAAGAAAACAATAATGGCGTATTCAGTGAATATTTCTGTAGAAGCACCGATCGAGAATCAAATTCAGGAAATCACTTACGATGGTCAAGAAATTTACCAAGCGTATGTAATTTATTCTTTTAATGTTTAATAAAATAAAATAAAAAGTTAATTATGAATATATACAAAGTAACAAATAAATTTATTATATGTTCCTAACCTCTAAATTAAAAAAATATTTTATTTATATTTTAAAATATACAATTTATAACATTATATAAATTAAAGTAATTAACATTATAAATTAACAATAATTTATAATTTTTTAGACCTCTTACATTATCCGAAAACTTGGCAAAAATCGCGCAAAAAATCGATTTCAGTAAAACTAATGGTGAAGATGTGAAAAAGGAATTAGAAAATGGAGAAAAAAAGTGAAGAAGACACAAAAGACTCTGCTTCTTTTCAGTCATCTTTATGGCCATGGGACAGCGTTAGAAATAAATTAAGGTTGCATATTATTTAATATTTTTTAAGTGTAGTTTTATTGAAATAAAAAATCCCTTATTTATATTTATGTTTAATTATATTTATAATTATATTTACAGAAATGCATTGACAGAAGTATGTGTATTAGCAGATGTTCTTGCAATAGCAAAAGAGAAACATTATATGGTTCTTGATCCAGTACCCCAAGAACCAACAGAAGTAAAACCTATGATACAAGTATATGCTAGGAAAAAAGCATTAGCTGGGGCTGCATCTGTCATTATGATGGGTGCTGATAGATTAAAAAATTGTCAAAATGAATTAGCTAGAAATAGATCAACTCCAGATTTTCACATTGAATTATTAAGATTGAGACAAAATTGGCGTTTGAAAAAAGTTTCTAATTCAATCATTGGTGATCTTAGTTATAGAACAGGTTTATAATTATTTTTTATATAATTAAATAAATATTTAAAATTACATAATTTAATATTAATGTTATGAAACATTACAGCTGGATCTAAATTCCCTCAGACAGGTATGTTTGAAGTTACAAAAGCAGAAGAAGAAGAAAAAAATAGTACAAGCCCTCCTGCATCTCCAAATGCTAGTAATAATACATCTGGTCAGACTCATCCTCCAAATTCCAAAGCATCTGCATTGAGAGTTACTATTCCAAGTGAATTACAGGGTGTTGCTTATATAGAAGTATTATGTCAAAAAGGTGAGAGAGAGAGAGAGAGAGAGAGAGAGAGAGAGAGAGAGAGAGAGAGAGAGAGAGAGAGAGAGAGAGAGAGAGAGAGAGAGG